GGGGGGGGGTCACTGACCTCGGTCACGCGACTGCGGTGGAGTCATTGACCTCGGCCGCGCGACCGCGGCGGTGTTACTGACTTCGGTCACGTGATTACGGTATACATATATGCGTATGTGTGTGTATTATATATAGATATAGAATATTACATATAATATATATAATATTCTCTTTTTTATCCTTTTCCCTATTACGTGACTTTAGTCACGTGTTGTTTTTCCACTTCTCTCTCTCACTATTTTTTGAGTTTGATTTTCATGCGTTATTTCTGACATTTCTCATATGTGTATTATATATGGTTTATAAGACGTATATACTATCTGTCATCGCGGTGACAGGTTGTGTTCACTGACAACACGTTAAATAAAAATAACAATAGCGTGCGCGTAGCGCGCGCCTGTGTTGTGCTAGTTTATTTCAAAAAGCACAAGTGCGTATTGTGTGAGAAATTTTGCCTTCCGTACAAATCTAACCGCGTTTCACTGTCTTTAATGTGGTACACTTAATATTTATCTTTTTTTTTTGTTTTTTTTTCAATAATAGATCTACAAAACTCTAACTCTCAAACAATACGAAACATTCCTCAACGAGAATAAAATGGAAGTGATCTTGTTTGTTAAAAAAAAAACACGCATTATTGTATAAAAGATACGTAATTTATTTCTTATAAGGAACAAATATTATATACAATTGTGTAAAAATTATTTACATTGTTTAATAAAATTGTTACGTAATGCGCTACTTTGAAATTTTACTACTAAATCTAACAGTGTTAAATACATTAACACTTAAGCACGCAGCTAGTGTACAAAATAAATGAAACTTTGCATACAAATAATGAAAGACTATTACTTAAGAAACACGTATATCAAGTTTGAACTGCGGCATATTGAAGTCAGGTACTAGAAATATAAGGAGCGAAAACATGTTTAAAAAAAGTTGTTTTACGGTTATCGTCGTAGGTATTTACATTATCGACAAAGTTTTAAACAAAAACTGTAGGAAATTAATTTTTCCACAAAAAAAGTTACAACCTTCATTCACGTAACTTCAACCGTTTTCATGGTAGAACGCTGAGAACGAGTTTTAAAGTTGCGCATTAGCTACTCTCTCTTCTTTGATCTTTGTGGAACTTGGTATCTTTAATATTCTTTTATAAAAAGTAGTTTTGTTTTATAAAAAACACTTTTCTAAAACAAAAAGTATTTTTTTATGAAACAAAAAGTATTTTTTATAAAACAAAAAGTATATAAATACTTTTTGTTTCATAAAAAAACCGAAATACTTATATTTTTTTTTTTATAAGAACAAAAAGTATTTTTATGTTCGTGTTGTGTGCAGGCAGGTGAGGAGCTACGCCACTCCCTTTGCACTCTCCCCGAATAATCGTCAAAAATACTTAAAGATACCAAGTTTCACAAAGATCAAAGAAGAGAGAGTAGCTAATGTGCAACTTTAACTCGTTCTCAGCGTTCTACCATGAAAACGGTTGAAGTTGCGTGAATGAAGGTTGTAACTTTTTTTGTGGAAAAATTAATTTCCTACATTTTTTGTTTAAAACTTTGTCGATAATGTAAATACCTACGGCGATAACCGTAAAACAACTTTTTTTAAACATGTTTTCGCTCCTTATGTCTCTAGTACCTGACTTCAATATGCCGCAGTTCAAACTTGACATACGTGTTTCTTAAGTAATAGATCTTTCATCATGTGCAGTGTCATTCCTGAACTATGAGTGGTCATATCGTAATACAGCTGAAATAACTTCTACAAAAAATATATATAAAATTTAACATAATATATGACATTTAAAAAACTATAAAATTTAATTAGCTCTATTTACCTATTTCTAAAAGTTATTATTTACAATTCATCTTTCCATGATTCATAGTTTAGTTTCCGCATACTTCCCAAAAGTAGAGGTATCTTGTATGGCTTATATTCAATCGCAAATAAAAATGGACGTTCTACCGCAAATATCCTCGGTGCCGATCTAATTGATCTTTCTTGTGCAACTGCAATTAATATATATTTTCTTACAACGAATTCGATTGGATGCACTAGTGCCCACTGAGTGCGTTCTCTTTCGGTGTGTGTAATAAAATACTAACATTGAAATATTCTACTACACATTGAAAAAAGACGCGCTCAGTGCGCACTAGTGCATCCATTCGAATTCGTCGTTAGTGTTCTACACTTTCTTATATATAATATACACTTTCTTAGTAATATACTTTTATATTATATGTATTATTATATAACTTTACTTTATATTTTCGTGTTTTAGTATTCAAAATGAAGAAACCTACCTGTTTCTTTAGCAGCAGCCTCTGTACCTTCATCAACGTTTAAAAACACTTGCTGTAGTAAATGGCTGTGACGTAGAAGGTCATAAAATATACTTTCAAACTCTGCATCTTCCGAAAACATTGTGATCACGCCCATCTAAAAATATTTATTTAATAAATTTCTTACATTTTTTCCCTTTCTTTTTCTCTTCATATTAGTACTTTATCCCGACAAATTTCGCCAATTTTATTTTACCTTTTTTAAAATATCAACAAAATTTATAAAAAAATTATGAAACTTGAATTTAGGTAGATACAATTCTATCTCCTCGATAAATCTGGGTGCGTTTGCTAATTTTTTCCAGTCGAAATTATTTTCCACAGTCTGCAAGTTCACTTCTTCGTATGGCAACAATATCACCATTACGAAGTCTGAATTCTGTAAAATATTCTTCAGTTTAGTTCAGTTCTTATTACTTTTTTCTTTTTAATGAATAATTACACATTTACCATGTATGGTATTTCAATAAAACTTGCTTTCCACTCTGGTATTTCACCGCAATTAAATTTTGTTTTCTTAACCATTGTTGGGACAAGATTTATCTCTGTTTTAGAAACATGAAAATCACGCAGTTGTGTATTCTTTTTATCAAACTTATCAAGCCAGGTGCCCTTGAAGTTAATAGTACTTAGGAACATTATTCTTATTTCTCTCTCAACACTATCTGTTTTAAACATTTAATAAATGAGAACAGTTACATTACTAAATTTTATTTCACAATTATTAAATACGTAAACGAATATACCTGCACAGAATATATTGTCTAGATTTATTTTGTTATCTGCTGTGAGTTCAATCCAGTTTTTAAGAATGTCGTAAGCTGTATCGTGTATACTGGTAGAATTTTTTTTAAATAAGTGACAAGCGAACTCTGTTTGTGAAAACGTAAAATAGTGGTCAAATGGACAATCATATAGTGTACGTATTGCAGTTATTGTATACATATCATCATATTTACTATCCTAAAATGCAGTTAAATTATTTTTGAATCAAGTATAATCACACTTGTTTTATTTGTAAAGTCGGAATCTCACTTTTAATAGATTCCTCAAAGCTTGGAGATCTGTCATCAAAAGAGGTTTTTCATTGTTATAGAGAATAGAGTTCAGTTCGTCTAAAGAGGAACCTTCAGCGATGTCGGCAAGTAAGAACAATACTACATACAAGTTCGCAGGAGAAATCAAAATATTATCGTTTCCGCTTTCTGATACGTTCTATAATACAGCCCATAAACATACAAATTATGAATTGAATGATTTAACATTTATACGAATATTTTATACCAATCATTTCTTATTAATTGCACATACCTTGTATAACGAACTAGTAAATTCATAATACAATGGAGCTACATTTTTTAAATTTTCTACAGTTTGTAGTGATTCTGTAACATTGAATAGACATCGAGAAAAGGCATCAGTACCGACGAGTAGATACAGCACTAAAATATATACAGTTGGATTAATGAGACTCATCTTTCACAATTTGCATTATATTTTGATCAAGCGCCAAATGATTAATCGCGTTCAAAATCGCTGCTTCAAAACGACCAGTGCCAACGCTCTTCGTGTAATGTTTGTCATATTCGAACAACATGCTGTTTTGAAGTTCCCACTCTTGCGCACACGTGCTTAGCCTGTATACAAGCTCCACCTCGTTAAAATATTAAAGTGATATTTTTGAATTTGAACAACAGCTTAGTTGATGATTGCAGATGAATTTCCGCACTAGTTTTTTGCAAAAAAGAACGAAGATTTATATTGACTACTGCAAAACAACTACTATATCGATGCTTTATTCAAAATCGTCGACAGAGATGTCCGAAAAAGTTTCAGAAAAAGTTCCACATTATACATAAACCGCTCTTTCTTTGGTAGCGTTCAGTTTCCTGCGTATGCGTGTATTTATCCATAGTACACGTAACGTATACTATATATAAATCATACGCGCATATACAAACGGAACGTGTTCCCTACATGCTTAGTCTATGCGTTTGCGCAAGAGCAGGGCAAAGATAGGAAGGTAGATAAACAATCAAGCTACGAGCAAGCTGAAGGTTTTCAAAGTTTGTTTCTATACTTTTTCGGTACCTCTCTCTCTCTCTCTTCGTGTCAGGTATTTTTTTTAAAGCAAATTACGTGTTCAAACATTCGTTCGAAATCGTCTGAATGCGAAAAATATCGAAAACTTGTCTGTGTGATCATCAAAATAATCTACACATTAAAATATTTTATAGTTAATGCCTTTTATAAATGATAGATATCTTTTTATTAAATAATAAATAGTAAATAATTCTGTTAATTTTTGCAAGACTCATATAATTGCTACATTCTGTGAAAATACTAACATTTGTAATTTTTAATTGATATTTAACTATAGAAAATTATATGATCGCGTAGCTGAGAAATTCGATGGCAAGGATCGAAAAAAGAAGATCTGAAGGACACCACAAGTGAATGGAGGATGTTAATATTTTTAAGACACTCGATGGAAAAAAAAGCTGCATGCCGGTTTTCATAGACATATTATACTCGCCACGCTTGCATAGGTGGGGGATACTATTCGCGGCAGAGCGGGTGATGACGATTTAGCTTCGCTGTCAGTCTGATTCTGTCTGGAGTCGCAGAAATAGCTTGAGACCTTGTAATTCTCGCCGATAAGAGAGTTCGCTCTGGCTTTAATAATATAAACCGTTCCGTTCACGGAAAAGGAAGAGCGCGGCGAGCAGCAGTGCTGGGGAACACAATCGAACAACACAGGTGCAGATACCCTACATAATTGACGGAAGACACGCGCGCGCGGAATAAGTTCTTGCTTTATTTCACATTTTTATCTTCGTGCACAAATAGATTGTTATTTCTTGCAAAAATTATTGTAAATAATTTTTAGAATGTAGTTTTGTTTACAGCACGCACACTGTCATTTTCGCGATGTTCGCACATGTGTGTAAAATAAAACATAAATAATATACAGATGCATAAATAGAGATGCAAACGCGCAAAGTCTTTGGTGAATATAAATAACTTTAATGTAATGCGCTAGCCGAAGATAAGAGAACACGCCGCGCGTTGGAGCGGCGGGAATTGCAGAGAAAAACAGACACATAAGTTGTCACATAAGTTACTTGGTTACGAAAAATTTCTTAACGTTTCGCGGCTGTCGTTCGCGGCGAAAATGGCATACTTTTCATATCGCTAGACAAATACATGTTTTATTACGCTAAATAAAAATCGATTTATTCAGTAGTTAAAATTATGTCAAGTAAAGTTTTTTTTTTTAATAAAGCCGCACGCAACTCGACGAAATCGCACCTGCGTTTTATAATTCGCATCTTCCGTTTCCGGAAGCGAGTAAGCAGGAAGCGAGCGCTCGCGGAGCAATGAGACGCAGTTTCAAAGATACGGGAGGGTGCGTGTGCCTTTCCCGGGGGGTGTTGGAAGGATCGATAAAATACATGCGCGTTTAGGCACCTCGTGACGCACACACGAGGTCGTCTCTCGTCTGAAAAGCAATCACTGTTGCATACCGTCGCGTTCGTCCGAAGATTTCTCGGTGCGGGAAGAGCAAAAAAAAAAAAATCTCTTCTCAATACACTCGCGCTATGGACGAAGTCGCGTCGTTCGTTGCGCGAGACGTGTGAATTTTCGCATTGTCGCGAGTTTTTCGCCCGCCACCGAAACGTCATCGTCGTTGTCGCCGTCAGCGTCCCGTCTCGTCCGCATCGGAATTAAACATCTACGCGCGTACTGACCTAGAAACACTAAACCTGACAGATCGCCATCGTTGCGCTTCTTCCGCCCTTGCGTAGCTAACTTGGCTTGGTGAGTCTGAGTCTTTTGTTTACTCGTCACTTACATAAAAAAACAAATAAAGTAAAAATATATGTATGTTGTTGTTGTGAAATATGAAAAACCGTATCGCTCCGTCTGTCGTGATTTGACGACGGTACATATACTGGAGCTGCATGTGTCTTTGTGTTGACACCTGATCGTAATGACATATTACTTAACCAGAACTTCGTCGGCCGACCGATGACGCTAATTACGTTAACGCATCGACGCTTGTATAATTTCTATTTATAGGCATGAAATAACAACGTTCCACGTCGGTTTTCGCACGCAACGTGTATTTCCTGATACTTTGGCACACATTCATTCACGATTCACTTGCGTATCCGAACGTGTGACCACACACACACATGTATGATACACTTTACTCCTTTCTCTAATTACGCATACAATGCGCTTGTTCGAAGAAAAAAAATTTTAACGCGTGTTAATAGTGTGATAATAGAGATAACGGGAACATATTTATTCCAGTGTGTCTCACAATGCAAGCGGAGAAGAACGATAACAACGAGAAGACCGACGGCGAGAAAACGGAGACTGTCAACGACGTCACGCCACCAACGTCGATCACGAACGAATTGTCAAATCTCAAGATCGAGGATGGTTCGGCGAGCTCGACGCCGAGCAGCCCCGGGGGCGGCGAATCCGGAAACTTCCTGTCCAGTTTCAAAGCGTTCTCCAAATTCGGCGATCCCAAGAGCGACGGTAAATTAATCACGCTAAGTCAGAGCGACAAATGGATGAAACAGGCGAAGGTAATTGATGGAAAGAAGATCACCACCACGGATACGGGAATTTACTTCAAAAAACACAAGTGCGTATTGCGTGAGAAATTTTGTCTTCCGGATTGATACAACCGCTTGTCTTTAATGTCGTTTTGTACATTTAACATTCATGTTTTTTTTTTGTCTTTTTATCGACAGATCTACGAAACTCAATCTCGAACAGTACAAAACATTCCTCGACGAGCTGGCTAAAAACAAGAAAGTGGAAGTGGCGGAAATCAAAAAGAAGATGGCCAACTGCGGACCACCCGGATTTAGCGGCGGTGCCAGTGGAGTATGTACACTTCAAATATATTCGACATTTTGACAATCTTCGACATTTAAAATATTTATCTAAGACAACTTATTTTAACTTTCTCTCTCTGTCTTTCTCAGTTGTTGAACTTATCTTTCTTTTAATCGTTGTTAATCTGCGATCGCACGTTTATATATCTTATCGGACTGTGATTATACAAGTATTGCAATGCGCGATGTGTTTATGTGATTCTGTTTTTGACGAAAATTTTACAGGCTGGAAAAGCGGCGTCAACGGTCGACAGACTGACCGACGTCAGCAAGTACACCGGCTCGCACAAACAACGTTTCGACGAAGCGGGAAAAGGTAAAGGTATAGCCGGTCGCAAGGATATGCCCGACACGTCTGGTTACGTTCAGGGCTATCAGAACAAGGATACGTACAAGGCTCATTAGTACTTATCCAAATGTGCTTCGCATACTTACCGACGATACGTGCTTCGTGAGGAACACACGAGCGGTGTGTTACATTCGATTTTACGCGGCGGTTCTGAAGTTTTCTATCGCATTGCATTAACAATCTGCCAGAGATATTGCAAATATTCTTGAGGAACGTATACATCGTTTTTAAGTTATTATTAAGATAGTGTTAAATATATATATCCTTATATATATATATATATTATTATTATCAAACAATGACTTTTTTGCCGATTAATCGCGCGATAGTTACTTCCTTAGATCACAGCTACGTACTTTTAACGATACATTATCTTACAAATTTTCTATATACGTACAAGTTCTCTCTATATAAATAAGGCCTGGTTGACCAGCTTGTTCTAACAATCGGTGTATGATTCTATCGACTTTTAGCTTTAGTTATTTTTTCTACACGTTTTTCAGCGTTTCTGTTAATCAACTTTGTTAAGTAATCGCACCTAGAGAGACGTATAGTTTAGAAAATATTGTTTGTTGTGCAGTTCAATAGAAATAGATTTTTTTTGTCTTTAAATTTGCGCGGTTTACCGAGAGAAATATTGCGTCATTAAGTGCGAAACTTGACAAATATGTATACACATACATGTTATATAAGTTTCACACTCAATGATCCAATAAATAAAATTGATTTCAGAGTACAGGAATTTACTTGCCAGTTGTTTTAATTGTTATGCAAAAAGAAAGTACATAGAATTGTGTATGAATTTTGCACAAATCGCAATAATTCCAATTAGTGATTTCGTGTAGGTAGAATAATAATATATATACACACTTCCAATAATATATATACACAAACTTCCTTGTATATAATAGAAATATTTTTTTTTTTTTTTTGATGAAGAAACTAGTCACACGTTTACTTCTCAATTGTGTTATTTTCAATACCTACCGGCTTTATCTATTTCCATAAAAAATGTATTGAGTTCGTGACAGATATATATGTAATTACATACATATATATATATATAAAGACAGATAAAAATAAGAATGCACATTTATCACACACAAGATTAACTATTGAAGATATATATCGCGCAAGACGCGATATGGAAACGTGACGTACAATTTTAAATAAAATTTATTTTCTACTGCGTATATCTCAAAAATATAATATTTTTCTGCACATCTTAACATTGAATTAATATCAATTAACTCGATTGAAACTTATTAGAGTTAATTGCCATACCCATAATTAACTCGGTCAGTGAACTCGAACATCGCAGCTCGTTTCGCCAATAAATGATTTTTATTTCTATGATATTGAGTTTTATGCCTTTTTTTGAGGCGTGTTGTATATTAAATATAATATATATGTAATAAAAAAAAAAACAGAAAGTGTACTTACTCTGTAATTTATAAATTGTCAGTGCGTTCACTGCCTGGCATATTGGAGACCAAAAATTTCGTATCTTACATTGTATAACTCAAAGCTCGATTATATTAAAGCAAAATTTTTACGTCATTTCCGCGATCGATCTTCGTTTCGTTTTCGGGTATTATATAAATAATAGGAACTAGAGTTTTAAAAAAAATGTGTGTATGATGTAATAATAATAATACTAATAATAATAATAATTTACATCGTATTGCGATTGTTTATAGGAGAAATTTTCTAACTTTGTATCACTCGTTTGTCTTACTTTTTTATGAATGTTAATGAAGAAAAAAGAAAAACATTTTCCGAATATGTGTGCACGCGTTTAGCTGCTAATTTGAATATTCGCTGTAACACACAGTAACATTTATCTTCAAAACCGTTTACATGATTGTCTTATCCAAAATAATATGTCGACGCAGAAGTAAAGAAATTCGTCTCAATAAAAAGTTCGTTTATTTGACACCTTTGTTACGACGGAGTCAATAACATTTGATATAGTTTATCTTTTTTTTTTTTTTTATATATATATATCTGGAACGCTTATAAAATGGAGCTTATATATGTGCGGAATCAGTTCTCTGTGTGATATAGTTGAAGTCTCTTTCGTTATAGGACATTTGAGATTTTTGAGAATACACATGCTATTCTAGAATTACGTCTCACAAGTGAGAACATTGTTTATTTTAATGTTAAAAAGCGTTAATATATGTATATATATATATATAATTCTCTTCATAACGATTGCGTTACTTAAATATTAAATATTAAAAAAAAAGAATGACTAACTAAATTCATATACTGAAAAACACAGACTTTATATTGGTCAAAAAAAGTTTCCGGTAGGAAGCAATGTGTTGTTAATGATTTTGCAACTCACACACACATCTTACAATTTCATGGCAAGATCGTCTTTTGTTTTTTTTTTTTACGGCGAAGCTTTCACCCTCTTTAAATCTAACACAGCGTACAAAATTGTGTGATGATCGAATTTTTTTATCAACTCTCGTTGCGTCGAATTCTTTGGGCATAAAAAATAAACGCAAAAGACACATTAAATAATACATATATAATAAATTATTCTCCCTCGAACGTGTACACGTGTACATAAAATACGTAAAAAAGCTGCACAATTTTGTTTTGTTTTCTGAGAGCACAATCTTGTTCGAAGCGTTTACATTAATTTACAATGCAAAGAAAAGTTGATGATTTATCGTTATAATTCCGTGAGAGTGTCCACCGACGCCCTCAACCGAGATCTGGCGATGCTGCAGTCGTCGCCGTATTCCCTGCTGGTCCCGGCGCCGTTTATCCGCGAGACGATCTCCTCTTTCAGGATCGCGAGCACTCTGCGATCCTGCTTGTTCTGGGCTGGAGCGTTTTGCAGAGCCTCCTGAACGTTCGACAGCGCGTTCTCGAGCAGACCCAGATCCACCTGCGCCTTCGCTCGGGCGTAAAACGCCTCGTAAGACATGGGCCGGACCAGGAGCGCCTCGTTTGCCAATTCGATGGCTTCGATGCATTCCTGCATTAAAAGAATCACACGTTTCTAGTTACAAGAAAATAGCGTAATTTCAATTGTAAAAGATAAGTTGAGAAAATTGAATCACTAACATTCATCTTTCGCTTGCATCGGCTGAGATTCAGAAGAAAGTTCAACCGAAGCTGCGTGAAAGTTTGGAGCTGCAGCATCAAGTGACTCTGCTCCTGTCCCTGGCAGTCCTCCTCCGGCGACGCTGGGAACTTTCTCAAAGCGTACGCGTAACGATGCGACGCTTCCTTCAATCTGTTCTTCCGATAAAGAACGTTGCCGTCCTCCAGAAGCTTGTTCAGTAAGATTATCAGAACGTCCGGTTTGCCCGCAGCCATGGCCCAAGTGGCGGGGCCCAGTTTGGCACCACGGCGCAGGAAACATTGCACCACCGGTATGTTGCGACAGCCGATAGCTCGATCCAGGGGTCGCATGCCGTGTATGTCGACGTGTTCTACCGCGGCTCCCTTCTCAAGTAACAGCTGCACCAGTTTTGGATTACCCTGCACCATGCATATATATACGCGTGATTACGTGTATCAAATGATACGTAAATAATATGAGCGCAAGCAGAAGAGAAATTCAGATTTACTTGGAATGCGGCCAAATCCAACGGAGTTCTACCAGTGGTGTCATTCGTGTTGACATCGGCGCCGCGATCGAGCAACATTTGCACAATGGCCACGCGTCCCCTAACGCACGCCCATCCCAGAGCGGTGAGACCTTCTTTGTCCTTCGTTTCCAAGATTGATCCTTTGTCGAGAAACAGTTCGACGAGATTACCGTGACCCTCCGAAGCTGCCAGCATTAACGCGGTACGTCCAGCATAATCGTGTTGTTCCAGAAGCAACGCAGCTTCGTTCGATATTGTGTCCGTGCTGCTGGACAGATCTCCTGCAAAAGCAATTGGAAAGATTGTAACAATTTGACTCAATAATAAATTATATTGAATTAAAAAACAATCACGAAAACAAACCTTGCAAGAGCCGTTCCGCGGTACCCCAATGTCCTTCCCTAGCAGCTAGCATAAGGGGTGAGAGTCCTTTCGCGTTCACGGCCAGGGGATTGGCGCCGCGAGCCAGGAGCGCGGAAACCGTCGCGGTTGAACCGTTGCCGGCGGCGATTGTCAGCGCGGTCTCGCCTATCAGCGTATCGGGTCGATCAACGATCACCTCGGCCATATCCAAGAGATACTCCACGACGGCCTCGTGACCTTGTGACGCGGCCGCGACAACGGCCTGCTGAGCGGCTTCCTCTCTGCTTATTTCCGAGGCACCGCTTTCCGTTCTGTTCTCCGTCGGCACGATCCAATCGCAAGCGAGAAGGTAGCCGACCACGGACAGTCTTCCGTGCCTAGCTGCGTGCACCAAGGGACATTGGCCAGCCATGTCCGCGTGTCCCAGTGAGGCTCCGGCAGCTGCCAATCTGTGGAGCGACAGTATAATTAACTATATAACGACTTCGTGTCGTTTTGAGTTAGGAAATATAGATGTAATTTTACCTTCTGACTACGTCGCAGTGTCCTCGAGCGGCTGCCAGCGATAATGCGGTGCAACCTTGATTATTGGTCAACTCGACGTCGGCACCAAACTCGAGGAGGAGCGACACCATCTCGACGGAACCCTCGTGCGCGTACATGCACAGAGCGGGTGCGTTACCCAGATATTCGGTGATGTGATTCGGCGATGCGCCCGCCAGCAGGAGCAATCTCGACACCTTTACGTTCGGGCTGTAGATGTTCCGCAGCATGCACAACGCCGAGGAAATGCATTCGGTTGACAGAGTCAGCCAAATAGCCTGAGAATTAACGAAGCCTTGTTGATTCTCTACACTTTAGTAGTTCGTCGTGTGTTACTTTTGCGGTAAAAAACAACGTACTTGTAAATCGCGCGAGGGCCAGCACGGAGCCACGCCTCTGTAAACATGCGCCTTCAGTACGTGATGACCCAACTCCAGGGCCTTGTCACCGTCCAGCGGTGCCTGAAGACGCGACAGTCTGAACGCGATCGCCGTGTGCCCGAGTCTGTAGTCGCACAGGAACTTTGTCGATTCTCCCTCGTCTCTTCTCATCAGCCATTCCCTGAACGAGGGGTGAAAGAACATGTACGTGTTGTCTAAGCGCTTTACGAGAAAGCCAGAGAGCATCTGAAAGATATACCTTTTTGTTAGGTAGAAAGTAAATGTAAATATTGTTGTATTTAAAAATTATTTTGTAATGTACTTGCCTTGAATCTTTGTAAAAAGTCTTCCCACGTTATAAATTGGTCTGTGTTCAAGGAATTTACAGAATAGAATATTTCAGGTAGAGTCAACGGATACAGAGCGGCCAAACAGACGGCCAGAAGAGGTTGCACTTTGTCGAACGAAGTTGCCGTGGGAAATCTCAAGTTAAAATGCAACAGAAAGATCTGCGCGAGAGAGACCGGTAATACCTGAAGATGTAAAGTATAAACAATAAATAAATTATTATTTTATTTTTATTTAATTACACTTATTTAATTTATTAAATTATATATAAATATATATATTATTTATATATTAAATTTTACTTTTCAATATTTGTTTAAGCAACGGTTTATCAAAGTGTATATTTTACTAAATTCTGTTCAATTAAAAATTCGATTTCGGCACACCTTGTAACTCGCAGATTTGGCGACTAAATGTCCGCTCTCGATGAGATCGAGCGTCAGTTTGGCAAAGAGAAAACTGCCCTTGGCTAGTGCGAGCAAGTGCGAAGCGAATCTCGTCTGATTCGCGGCGCACGACGATTCCGCTTTGCTGTTCACCGACGCGGTCACGTTCGCCTGTATCGAAGGACTGTGAGCGAGCCTGTAACCGATGTAATCGGACAGATCCTTCGTGATGCTGTTCCCGATCGCATCGTTCGCAGTCTTGTCTAAGGAAATTCTCGTGTACGGCAATTGCTTCGCGCAGTCCAGCAACTGCGTTCTAACCGTGCAAACGATCTTCAACCAACTAGGAATGTTAGGTGCATGCCTCGTCAGGAAGGAAGCTATGGTGTCGCCTCGGTCCGGTCTGTGATACTCCGCCTCGCACATGGCGTCGATTAGTATTACCTGGAAACGAAAAGAAGTGTTCTCAAGAACGTTGTCCCGTGCGATGCGATGCGAAACAACTTTCCGATTTGTTGTTCGATTGTTTACCATGTTCGAGTCCGGCAGTCGGTTGGCTTTCTTCAGGGTCAAAAGCGGCTCGATAATACCCCTGGAGAGAGCGAGATCCGGATCGACGGTGCATTCTCTTTGCGACAGCGAACCCTGAAGATGAGGTTCGGACAGAAGATATTCTCGGTATGAGATCAATTGTGGAGCCTGGCAGAGTTGCGCTGCCAACGAGTGAATTAAATCCGGCACTAGACAGGTACTGTTATTGTCGGCTTGGCAGAAGTGATAAGCGACAACGTGTGACGCTAATTCGCGAACCTAAAAATCAACACGTATCTCACTCGTATTTTTTTTTTTTTTTTTTTTATCCAAAAAGATAGAAAAAATAACACGAGATCAAATGCCGTACTTTTTCATTAGTGTGTCGGATATTAGCTTGCAGAACCGTGTTGCCAATTTGTTTTTCCTTCTCGTCGCATTCCTCGCTCACTTCCAGGGATCTCGGTTGCTCTCTTCGTCTACCGAAACAGCTGTGCTCCACCAGTTGCAGAACGAGCGCGGTTTTTCCCGTGCCCGGCGATCCGGAGATCAGAATACCGGGACCGGAACCGTTGATCACGGCTTCCAGTTCGTGCAACAGCCACTGCCGGCCCGCGAAGAGCGGATCCTCTTCTAACAACGGCACCTCGAAGAACAACGGCTTGAGAGTCAATTGCGCGTGATGCTGAACGAAACGCGCTGAAATCAACAAGAGACTCCCGTTATTATCCCGGACGTGTATTGTAATCACGATAATTGAATTCGCGGAAGAAAAAAATATTATTACGTTTAGTGTCTACGGATCCTTTGACGTTGCCGATTCTGGCCGATCTCCGAGTGCAGGATCGTCTGTTCTTCAGCTGGCCGAACTCGTCGGTCTGACTTCCCTGCGCGGTGTTGACGGAATGTCTTCTCGGCGTGAGCGGACTGGAGCTGCCGTTCGACAGACCGGACACGGACACGGACATGGACATGGACATCGACGTGGACGCGGACAGCGACGTCGAGATGGACGCCAGGCTGCCGCTGCTGTCGCAGTCCCTGGATTTAGTCTTGGTCTTGGCCTTGGTCTTCGATTTCACGGGACATCGCAGCGCCGCCGCGGCCTCGGCCTCGCTCGACGTGCCCGTCAGCGTCGACACCGGGCTCGTGTTCGTCGAGGCCTGAGTCTGGGTCTCGAAGCTGGTCAGACTGCTGAAGGAGGCCGCGGAGCTGTCGTTCCTCTGTATCGGAGCTCGCGAAGTGGGACCCGTCTCCGTGTTTCCCCGACCGGATCCCAGCAGCAGACCCAGTCGCATGTACAGATCTGACTGCGACGACTTCCGATTGGTCTTCGAGGACAGCGGTTTCACGCAACCGCCCTCGTCATCTACTCAAAGGGAGAGGAAAAGAAAACAACAATTTAGTTTGAGTAGTTAGTTGTTTTATACAAACTGACTAAGTCAATCCACAACATCACAAGCAGTGCTAACGTGTGCAGTGAGTAAATCCAAAAAACTGTCTGAAAAAAATCACACTCTACTAAGGACGGGCGCAATTATATAGTTTTAAAAAATTCAAAGTTGTGATGGTCATGCTCGGGTACAGGGAGGTGCTGTACAAAAAAGAAGCGTTATCGTAAGAGGAACACATATTCGCGCGTGCAAACGCTTTTATCGTACTGAGGAGGAGTGCCTCGAGCTAAGTCTCGCGCGTGACAACTCTTAAGGTTCTCCAGCATTCATTCGCACACTCGGCAAGCATCACGAACGTGTCTCAATAGCCAATACACATCGGTTTCTAAGAGTTTCTCTCTCTCTCTTTCTCTTTCTTTCGTGCCTGTGACTTTGTTCGATGAGCCGATGAGCTGATTCAGACCGTCGTTGGCCGTGCCCTGACTGCTGCTCCACAGCGACTTGATCTTCCCCAGGACGACGCCGGGCCATCTTCCCTCCCAGGACGAGGTCATCCAAACTGCGGTGCGTGAGCGAGTTTTGGCGATTTTTTTTTTAAAGTAAGTTTTTCGCGCCGATTACAAATTTCTTTTCTCGCCGAGCACGCGGTGGTGTACGCGAAAATTTTCGCGATTGAATCTTAGAAGTGTGAAGAGATATTTGTGTACCTGATAACGCGGAGGGATTGTCGTTCACGGTCGGGTCCTCGGGCGAGGATGCTGCGCGTCTCGAGGATCTCTGAGCGGCGAAGGAACTTCTGAGCACCTTCGGATTGAGGAAGAATCTTCTCCGTTGATTCGGCGGTATAGGACAATCTGCGCGAACACGGAGAGAATATTCATACACATTGTCGGATCGATATAAAATTGCGCTATTTGAGAGAAAAAAAAAAAAAAAGAATTAGATTCGACGTACTTTGCGTCATTTCAACTTTGTACCGCGCTTGAGGAACGGAGGAGTCTGGAAGTGCCGGAGACTTGATTTTCAGGTTCTTCGCCATTGCTATAAAGAGAGGTTCCTCTTCGTCCCGTTGCTGAAAAATATCGACTTACAATTAACGAGAGATCAGCAAATTCATGGGGAGAGAAGAAAACGATACGTTCTCTCACCGTTCGAAACAATGGTTTATTAAAAAACAATTCTCCGAAACAATAGGAACAAAAAAAAATAAACAAAAAAAATAAACAAAAAAATAAAATCGAAGACAAAAGAAATCAATTTTTTTTCTTCCGCGTCGTGTTATTTTTTTCGTAAACGACAACGGGCTTACGTGCGCGATTCGTGAGGGCAGATTAGCCCTCGTGGTGATTTTGGTGCGTGGCCTGGGGCTGCCGCAGAGAGAATTCACCGTCGATGACTCATCGAGCCAGCCGTCCGTGGGCGCGAAAACGGACAGCGGTGCCGTGGAAGCGGCGAACTCGTCCCTGAGCGGCGATGCCTCGTCCGGCGCGTCGTCGTTGTTGGGATCGTAGCCGCGCAGACATAGCGGGCATGCCTCGCTGCGGAACAGGCACGAGTAGCAACGCTCGTGGCCGCAGGAGTCGATCAGACGACGCTTCTTACCCTTGTCGAACGGCATCTCGCAGGACGGACAAGTGGATCCGCCCAGTATTCCGGTCGACTCGACCAACGCTCGTATCTGCGCCAGGTCTGCGAAGAAAAAAAAAGAACGAGCGCTCACATAATCGCCGCTTTCTTGCAATTCTACGCGATCGATCTAATCTAAGTCAATTGTACGAAAAGTTCGTCGAATCGCGGAATTCTTGTGACGGATATATCGAGTCAGGGAAAAGGTGAGCGCGCAAGCAACACTCAAAAGAGAGAGAGAGAGAGAGAGATAAGCGTGCGTGAGTAATCAGCGACTATTCGGCGCCGAAGACTCCCGCAAATCGAAGACCGCGGCCACGGTCTTCGACTCGCGTGCCACTTCGGAAGCTGAACAGAAAGCTCCGCTCGTATCTGTCACGAGCGATTTATTCGCGATTACTTCGAGATATGTCGGTTAATGAGGAAAAGAACAACATATTCGTTCGCCGAAGTATCGACGTTTATCGCTAACGCGCGAATAAATCAAATGGCGCGCACGGAATCGATTGCACGTTTTCTAGAAAGTAGGGTCAAGAGAGAAGATCTCGCTGCTCTCTCGCGTCCTCGTGTATGAGTGTGTGTGTGTGTGTGTTTGTGTGAATGCAGTCTCTTCTCTCCTTTATCCTTCTGGATTTTACTCGATCTCGCGGCTTACAAATAAAATCAAATAAAATGTTTTCTCCATTTATTTTTACGCAGTGTGCGTTCAAACTACTTCACTCCTGCAACACGCTTACTTTTCACCGAGAAACGCGAAAGAAAGGAGAGAAAAGAGGAGAAGGATCGAGAGGGGGTTGGGCGGGCGTCGGGAGTTTAATCTCTTTTCTCGCGAACAGATATAAACAGAACAAAGTGCACGGCGAAGGGAAACGGGAAGGGAACAGAGAAGAAGGAAGAGTCGCACGGCTCCTCCGTGACGGTAACTCCGCGCAAGAAGCAGGTGCAACTCTGCGGCCTGGGTTACCGTAAGCTGTTGGGTCAACGCACTTGAGTTCTGATGCGCGCTGTGAGAAGGCCCCGGCGGCGGTGGCGGCGGCGGCGGCGGCGGCTTACCACCGTAAACTCGCGCATCGGTAACGTTTTCTCCGGACGAATCTCATGCTGGAACTGACTGATGTTACGTCTCCGCCGTCGTCGTCGGCGGCGGTTTCCGCTATCGCGCCTGGCGTCAGTTACGCGCCGATAGACGCGCGCGTTTATCGATATTTATAAAATAAAATTTATCCAACATGCGCGATATCGCGAGCTATCTTGTACGACAACAAAGAAAACGAAAAGAGAACGACAGGCAATGAATCGTGAAATTATTTACGTACCTTGCTTCGGCTATAATTTTTATAATTGTTAAATTAAATTAATTTATTATCCCGCGCGCGCGCACATGTACATACACACAAGTGAAACGCGATCTCTAATGCGGCTGGCTGAATAAGTCGCGAATATTTAGCGCGACAGAAATACCGCGAGAAAAGTATTTTAATTTGAATGGATCACCAACGAGAAACTGTTGCGGCGATTTTTAGGCGTCATTTTTTATGACACAATTAACACGTCACATTTCTCTCATCTTTTTTAATTACAGGTTTCATTTTTTTTTTTTTTCCGTAAACTTTTAAAGAGAGGAATTACGTGAGCTTGTGTTAATAAGTTTTAATCGAATTTGGAAAATTTAACACGTCACATTTCTCTCATCTTTTTTAATTACAGGTTTCATTTTTTTTTTTTTCCGTAAACTTTCTAAAGAGAGGAATTACGTGAGCTTGTGTTAATAAGTTTTAATCGAATTTGGAAAATTTTAAACGTTTCCTCATAAAAAAGAAATACGTAAACGGAGCATATCGACATCACATACCGGTTTTATCTCTCGACGCGATAAATTAGATTAAATTAGATTACCCGGTCGAGCGACTGTGACACAACGGCGACTATCTGCCGCGCTAGAAGAAAAAAAAAATTTCCGTGAAAAATTGTCTCCGATGACGTTTCGTGTCCGAACGAGAATTTCTCCGTACATTCGATTTTTGCTCGGGATCGCCGCGGCAATGCGCTCGATCCTCGTTCTCGAGCGGCACCGCGAGAGACGGGGAGCCGCGCGCGATTAAAGTTCGATTAAAGCCCTCTCCCCGATCGCCCGTGAGCGAGAGAACGAAGCCACAGGACGACATCCACACCGGGGACCACCTGTTGACCGGTCCGCCGTGCCGGCTAACTTTCCCGTCTCCACTTCCGTTCTCCGTTGCTCATGCATATACACGCATACGCGCGTACCAAGAAATGGAATCTCGAACTGTGTGTCCTCGTAAATTGGATCCTGCAGACGACCTGACCCGAATCAGTGCCACATGAAGTTTCCCGCTTACCGGAAGTCGCAAAATCTGTGCTTCGCGTTCTCGTTCAACGAGATATTCTTGTTGTGCCGTTTTAAATGTCATTTTTTTTGTTTTATGACACAATTGTAACGTCACATTTTCTCATCTTTTTGAATTGGAGAAGGTTTCATCTTCCGTCTTGAACTTTCTAAAGATGAGCTGCGCGCGACCCGTGTGCCGGTATCGATAACTCATCATCATCAGAAAATTTCGAAAATCTTCAAACGTTTGCTCATAAAAAAAATAAACGGTGGTATCGACTTTACGCAACGTTTTTATTTCCTGACGCGACAAATTAGATTACCTGGGTCCCGACTCTGTGACACAACGGCGGCTATCTGCCGCCACGTCGTTGATAACGCCTGCGCGGTTAGATAACAGAAATCTGTGGCGCTCTGCGACGTAATTAAAACAGTACGTAAGAGAGACGAGAAAAAAAAAAAAAAACAACTTTCTCGCGCGCTTATCACTGTCTTTCGATCCGAAATATTGCGACACACAGCGATATCGCGGTCTTGCAATTAGTTTGTTTCTGCGTCGCAGAAGTTTTTTTCGAACGAAGAGAGAGAGCTTCAAGCGACTAGAGAAAATTGATGGATAACGAAATGAATCACACAGTCAACACAGTCAACGTGAGATCATCGCGTCGTATGTACGTATCTCCTCGAAGGTCTATTTAAGTATGTAGATTCGCGTAGATTTCTCAAGGATATACGCTCGCTACGTGAGTCACACATTTGAAATAAAAAAAATTTCAATTCTCTCTTTTTTTTTTTTTTTTGAAGAAGAAAATTCGTCAAACACAGCGAGACAATTTGCAATTTCTTCTCGAATTTCAAAACGAATAAAACTCTTCGGTGATCTCGAAACAACAGAACGCATCCTTCGTTCCTTTATCCCGGGAGAAACTCGCAAACATATTTCGCAAGAACATATATATACATATATATATATACACTTTTTTAACGGACGTATGTGTACCAGATTGATGACCGCGAGTCATGTCGGGGCATTAAGAAATTCGGATCGTTTTTTTTTTTTTTTTTCTGTTCGCGCCGGTTCTTTTTCTTTTGCGAGACACACCTCTCGGAAAGAATCATTTCACGTGACCTACTTATTAACACGATGTGACGATCGCTCGCGCGATGCTGAATTGCGAACGAGCGGAGAACAATACTTGCGGATCGCAGTTTTCCGCAAACGAAGAAAATTACACGCGGGAGAGTTTTTATTTGCAACTCGCGCGATACGACGCGCGTCTTCTTAATTAAAACGACGCCGCGTGCACGCGACAATCTGACGACCAGGCGCGACGACTCGTGTGTAGAAAGTTATATATTGTGCGTGCACAATATTAACAGAGAGTTGACGCTTTTTGTTTACCGAAACTCTAATAGACATGGAAGTAATAAAAAATTTATGAATATTGGATGCGGGAAGAATAAACGCGCAGGTGACAGAGAAAGTTAGACTCCGCCGTATTCAGGGCAAGGTGCGCGTTACAGGTGTGTACATTTCGCAACGACGCGCGCGTTGCAGGTTGTCGTGGGATATATTAGCGAATATAATCTCATTCGTGTCGTGTGTCTCAATGAGCGTGTGTGTGTGTGTGTGTGCGTTTTACACACGCGTGTGGAAAATTCGTTTCGCAACGTACCGTAATAAACAAGAGTTAGAAGAATATTAGCGGCGGAGATAAAGAGCCGAAGAAAACGCGACAAACGTTGCGAATCTCTCGACGAACGACGCTGATTTCTCGCGCGCGGTTCTCCGTATATGTGTGCAGTTAATTCCGTTTCTCCTGATAGTGGTCGCCTTATCTGCCGACTCTCGACCATCGAGAGGCGCGCAGCAACACGGCGCGGTCCAACGGTGTAATCTGTTAAATGTGATAAAAGTGGACGCGCGGACTTCTCCTTTTCCTACCTACCTACCCGGTTCGACATTCCGAACTTGGAGCGCGGAACACGACGGCGAAAATAAAAACAAGATATCGCGAGCGATCGTCTCGCGACCGAACGATGGCGTGCGAGGTTTCCTCAAGTGCAACATGTGATGATCGGCCGTTGGCGTGACCAGACGCGACATCCGCTTGCGAAATAAATGCATTTCTCATGGGAACCAGTCCGGCTTGTATATACATATGTACAATGTATCTGTATATAGGTACACGCTTGAAAAACGGAAGTTCGTTGTTCCACTCCGGCGGCGTCAACTACCCGGGCGTGTGTNTTTTTTTTTTTTTTTTTTTTTTTAAGAGAAACACTTGTCAGTTTCCCACCTTTTGATTCGCACTCCGTTCAGAACGAATCTTGTAGCGTTCAAAAGGTTTAAAATTACTGTTATTTCCGCGAATGACGCCTAAGCTCGCGCGCGAACCGATCGTTAGATCGCGCGAGACTTGATATTCTCGCGTCTGTAATTTTGTCTTTTTTTTTTTTTTTTGTTTTTTTTGAAAAACAAAAAGATGATCGAATACGCGTTGTTTGAGGAATTGTTAAACATATAAAAAATATTATTATTGCTTTATATAACGATTCGATTGGTTTGTTGTTTTGTTTCTTAATGATTCGGTTAAACGTTTCAATAAAAACCGTCCTTGAAGAAGAACCTCAAAAAAAAAAAACTTTCCGCGCACAAAGTCCCGTGTATCGCACGATCGTCATCGGGACACGCACGCGTAATTTAATCGCGTTCTCGATAATGAGAGAGGATATACCGCTAATCTAAGCGCCGGGAAATCAAAGACGATTACACGCAATTATATTCTCGCGGCGATTAAATCACAAGCCCGGTCTTTCTCTCTTCCCTTTCTCTTCACTTTCCTCTCTCTCTCTCTCTCTCTTCACCCTCCTCTTTCTCTCTGTCTTTTTTCTACTAAATCGTACGGAGAGCTCATTGACGCGAGAGCGCTAATGCGTTCATTCATTCTGAAAACGCGCGTTTCTCACAGTTTTCGTTTGCACGAGAGATCGAGCTGTAAGATATGTTTGCATGCCGTGAGAGATTTGAAAATCTCCGAAAGGAGAAAAAGAGGTCCGTCACTGATCAGCGCGAATTCAGCGGCAAAGGACCGATCTCTTTCGGAATTCCACTTAGGAAAAATATCCGACTCCTTTACAAAATATATCCGCCGAAATATGTTAGGTACCGCCGCCGTGAATCAAAGGGGACCGAAAATCCCTACGAACGCGTCCTGTGAGGGAAAATAGGTGAAAAAACGAATAAAACCTCTCTCTCTCTCTCTCTCTCTCTCATTCTTTCTCTTCGTGTGTATAAACTCACCGAGCACAGAGAGGCTGAGACCGGAGCCAGGGCGAGGCAATCTGTCGGGGGGCGCCATGTCTCTCCCGCTCCTCTCTTTCTCACTTTTCTCTCCTTTCTTTCTTTCGGCGCTCCTCCTCACTGCGTGTGTGAACGTTCCCTGTTTTGCTCCGTTTTTACGTGCGTGTACGCGCGACTCAATTCGGCACGGAGTTCCTTTCCGCGCTACGTCGTCGCACGGCACGACACACACTCGCGAATCCCATCACGCATACAACCGAGTTGTTACACACGCGTGTACAAGAGAGCGGCTTCGTAACGAAGGGTTCTACGGATCTGTGAAGGTGAATTCTCGCACCTGACGGAGAGTCTCTCCACCTCGTACGCGCGGTCTAACTAACGGATCGCGCTACATAACCAGCCGGAGACCATGTGGTCTCTCCCGCCGGGACTTTCGACGCGTCTTCTCGGTCATTTTTATTTTTTTTTATTTTTTTTTATTTTTTCCAAGTCATCCGCGGCGGCGAACGCGCGCGTCGTCGAACGCGAGACGAGGAGAGAGAGAAGACACGCACGCGGCGCACTGACCGGAGCACTGACTTGACTGACTGAAAGCTCGTGAGCGCGGCGCGAAGCGACGAAGCGGCGGCCCGTTCGCGTGACGCCCGGGTTGGCTGATTGGCCGGGGAACACAGCCCGTAGCCAGCAGGTCGGCCGACTGGCTCCGACAACTTCTCGCCCGATCCTCACGGTCGTTCTTTCACGAGGGTGCTCTATCTCCGTTCCCTTCTTTTCCTTTTTCTCTCTTTCTCTCGCGTTCTCTCCGCGCCCGACCTCTCTCTTCGTTCTCTTCGTCCTCGCGTGCGTCTGTCTCGCTCTGTACCGAGAGAGTTTCTGTTCCCGGTTCTGTGCTGCTGCTGCTGTGCAGCGATCGTAGAGGAGCCTTCCCCGATCTCGTTCCCCGCGCACTCACGCCTATGAAATCGTCGGACTTTCGAGAGCACTCGGTCATTTTTCACGTCCCGCCGTCTCTCTATACCCCGATGGAGATACTCGTTAAATTTACCTTTCTTATAAATCTCTGTCTCGCGCGCGCGCGCGCGCGAACGCGATTTACATATCGAGGATATTGCGATAGATTCGTGCGGGGCACCGCGCTTATTTTTCTTTTTTTGTTTTTTTTTTGTTTTGCAACAGGTGTATCCGAGAGTTCGCGTTTGTGTACTCGCGAAACATTACACTTTCTACTTTCACATCCCGAGCCTAATGCACGATTCTTATGTGCGAACGTATTGTTGTTGTTGTTTCTTTGTTTTTTTTTTTTTTTTGTTTTTTTTTTTAATCGAAAGGTCATCGGGAGATTATAGGAATCCCGAGACCCCGAACAATGCTCGGCGATTGCGGTGAAAATGAGAGATGACTATACGTCGCACAGCCGGTGTATTTCATTCACTGCGTTCGTTCTCTCTATCCTTGATCTACGATCCCACGCGGATCGTTGTTTATTTTCAGATCGATGACCCTCTCTCTCTCGCGACGAGCTCTAATGTACGTCGGAGATTAAAGAATCTAATCTCTCGCTAAACGCATATATGTAATTTTCGATGTTGAAATTCACAGAGATAGAGACGTCGGTAATAAAAAAAAAAAAAACCCATTGTGATTCGAGTTACCCGCTTTTTTAATTTCGCGCGAAATATTTGAATTTTATATTCTAAAAAAAAAAAAAAAAACACGCGGCCAGGAAATTCGTTAAGGCGGAGATTCGCCTGTGCTTTCGCGAAACGTTTAGGAGGTAGACGTCGTTGCACCTTTCTACGTGGGCTAGTGCGGCGGATGCGGGTGGGCGGACCAGGATCGGGTTTATAGTGGTGCAACTCAGACCGGGCAGGAATCACGTTGAAACGAGCATCGATAATTAAACGAGCACCTCGTCGTTCGACGTACGTACTCGTCATTTAAAAAGAATAAAGAAAAAACAACAACAACAACGATTCGTGTCACGCTCCGCCTGTCTCGCGAACAGGGCACACGCGTGACAAGAGTCGTCCACTATACACTCGGTATTATTTTAAATACATTTCAAGTATTTTTTTTTTTTTAAGCAAAAAGAATGTTGTTGTAAATTTGTTAAGAAAAATTCTTCGCAAACTTTTACACTATTTTATCATTCTCGAAAGTTAATTTAATCTTTTGCACTCAGTCGCCACTTGATTCGGCAAAATTGCAAAGCTCTATTCAACATTAGATCTTGCACATAACGTAAAAATACATAATATATAAAAATATTGAGATAAGGTAGTTTTATTCGTTTTAATTTACGTATGTGATTTATTTATTTATTATTTATTTTTACGTCAGTTGTAAAACGTTTCGTCAACTCTTTAGCAAAAAAAGATCTGCTACTTTTCTAGAAAAAGAAAACTTTCGAAAAGGGTTAAAATTTGTAATGATGCGACGATGAGAGGCTCTGACTTTCGTTCGGCAGAAGCGGGTATACCGATGTAACCGTATTGGTCGTATGCATCGGCGAAGCGATGTGTCCGGACAAGTGTGATGCAAGACGGGCCTTATACGGATCCCGACGCGGGACCCACGAAAGTAAGAAGTTTCACGAGCAAAAAGAACCACTATGTCACGTATATGACATATATATACTCCGTGTGACAAGCGTCAATTCGTTTAAGTCTCGATTGGCGATCGTCGAAAACTACACTGGACTTTCGAGTGCTCGAAAGAAGAATGAGAACATTTCGAATTTGTTTTGCGCCAAAGGATATGATCGTCTGACGTCACATTACGAAAATTATTCGCGTTTGTTGAAGCTCTGCCAACGTATTAGGCACAATTGGCTGCGTGGGCAAACGTTAAACGTTAAATCGCCCCGCTAATCGTCACGATGGGAGATGATGCAACAAGATTACCCGCCCACGATCGAGTTTCCTGTAAGAAGAGGACCGGCGAAAAGAGCAGGGGACACTTTAAGTATCATGATTAGATAAAACAAAAAAAAAAACAAAAAAAAAACATAAATCAATCACAGTGTAATATAAGCGGTCGAGCGACAGAATGCAAACGAAAACGTGTCTCGATTTTTGACGACGGTTGATAGGGTTCTCTCTGTAGTTTTTTTTTTTTTTTTTTTTTTTTTTTTTTTTTTTTTTTTTGAGAAAAGAAATTGTAAAATACCGTACGATATTGCGGAAATCTGAAGATTTCAGCCGGCAAAAAAAGCACGTCGATTTGTGAAAGAAAGAAGAAACGCAATTTATCTTCATCACGTCATCTTTCGAACGTTTAAACCTGAAAATGAATAAGTGCATTCAATTCAAGTCGCGGTCGCGCGTTTATAGCTCGTTAATAAACGCTTCAACGCTGCAACGCCGTGAGATTTCTCTTGCATCGGGAGATCGTTCGCTATATTTTTATCGCGCGCGATGTTTAAATGTGAAAGCCAAATGCGCCGTGTAAGCGCAGTTATTAAAAATTGTTGTTTGACTTTTCTTGTCGTCATCATCTTATCGTCGTTATTGTCCCCGTTATCTTTCGTATTTATTAACGAGCTATTAATTATATTATTATATAATATATAATATATATTATATATAATAATTATATAATATATAATATATACACATATATATATATATATATTATATAATATATATATATATATATAATCATATAATTATTATATTATTATATAATATTATTATATTATTATATATATTTTTTATTTTGACTGTGTGCACCAGAGAACACACATTTGTCGAATGCTTCACATTCTTGACCTACGATGAGAACAGAGCCACTTCTTTCCTCCTTTCTTTAAGGATTAAAATCTTAGGAACGAGATGAGATTTCGTTCAAGATCAGTTTCGTCTGGTCCGCGTCATTCGACAGGTACGTTTCGACAAGCTCGGTAGACTCCTTAAAGAGAACCTTCTCTGGATCTCCCCTCCTCGTCCAAGCAAGAGTTCATCAAATTGATTCTACGAACTCGGGATCGGCGCAGACACGTTGATTTCAGAAAACTTACTTTAAAAATAACCAAACAAGCTGTAAATTTGTTTTTTTTTTTTTAAGAACGACATATTTTTAAACTCGAGTGAATTTTTGTGAATTAATTAATTTTTAATTTTTCCTCGAATCCCATTGGCGTCAGCTCTCGCTGACTGTTCGAATGAATCGATCGAGAAAAAGGCGAAACCGACTCCAACGACATGACACGTGCGTCGATCGAGTTCCACGATAAAAAAAAAAAAAATACTCGTACTCGATTTACGTATCACAAAAGTTTTTTCCGATCCTGCTCGTTCCTATTGCGCGCACACCGGCGGAGAGGGAGGAGAACAACTCTGGAGGACCTTCTGAAACTATAGACATACCGCGAACTCGACAGACCAGAGTGTAACACCCGAGATACCCAGTCCGCCCACGTAATGTCCATATGCATTCGTACGTGAGCGTAATTTTACGCTGGCGAATGTACGCGTCAGAACGAGCGCGGAAGGGAAGAGCGACGGGGGAGAACGTGCGCGGAGAGAACACCGGTTCTCCCGGCACCCAGGTCGCTGGCTACATTCATAGCGATCGTACGAGCGCTCGGGATCCAAGAGAGTCTTCTTATGCACGTAAGAGCGCGGCCAACGACGCGACGTGTCTCTTCCACTCTGGACCACCGTCGGTTACGACGACGAAGCAGTCAATGGCCCCTCCACGTATGTAGGTGTAATCGCGCGTAAATGCCGCAAACGCCGGTTAAGATTTCTTTCGTTCACGTGCCCCGCTTATCGTTGACGAATTTTTCAAGTTTCGATCCAACCGAGATTTGCGTTGATTCCGCGACGACGTCGAAAAGCGGAAAGTGACGATTCAGTCCTTCCGCACATTCGCTCGCCCAGAGTTCTCGCTTGCGTCACACGCGGAAGTGCACGCGTTTGATTTTGAACGAAACAGAAACCTGGAAAGACGCAAATCTCTTTTGTTCACACATGTGTGCGGCTTTCAAAGTTGTTTACTTATTCGTGAATATATCGGATGTAAGATATCTGTCCCCAAGAACGTGCACCGATGGCCGGACATTTGATTAAAGAAACGATTTCTATAGATATGCAAATACCAAACATAACAATTCTCAACGTCTCATGTATTTTTTTTTTTTTTTTTTAACGATAGTTTTAAATATTCCTTCCTGACTCCATACGGAGTGTATAAACACTCTGTTAATTATTATCCTCTAAGAAATGTCCAGTCAGCGTGGACATGTCCACGTGGTTATTGATGACGAGGTACGTTGGATACTGTTTTCCAAATGATTTCAAAACGCTCTCGACGCGGATGAAGGTTCCTAAAAAAAAAAAAAAAAACCAAAAGATAACCGTCTTACAAATACTCTACGACAGGCAGACGCGGTGTTTTCTGGCGCCCACGCGCGACACTCTTTGTGCCCCCGTACTTCAATTCATTCATTCCCGGTATATCCTTCTTTCATTCAAGACCCGATACACTTCGATCGTGAAAACTTGCTCGCGGCCGTTCGGCTGTAGAGCGGATACGATACGCTTCGATAAGAATAGCGCGTGTCAAG